AAATTGAGGAAGACATCAGAAGATGGAAGGACCTCCCATGCTCATGGATTGGAAGAATTAATATTGTGAAAATGACCATCCTACCAAAAGAAATATATAGGTTCAATGCAATATCAATCAAAATCCCCATCACAGAATTAGAAAAAAAAATCCTTAAATTTGTATGGAAGCACAAAGACCCTGGATAGCCAAAGCAACCCTGAGCACAAAGAGCACCACTGGGGGGATTACTATACCAGATATCAAAGTATGCTACAGAGCCATAGTCATAAAAACAGCATGGTACTGGCACAAAAACAGACACATACATCAATGGAACGTCATTGAAGATCCAAACCTGAGTACGTTTCAGCCACCTGATATTTGACAAAGGTACCAAGAACACACAATAGAGGAAAGACAGCATCTTCAACAAATGGTGCTGGCAAAACTGGATCTCCACCTGTAGAAGAATGAAACTAGACCCTTATCTTTCACCTTGCACAAAAGTCAACTCCAAATGGACCAAAGACCTCAAAGTGAAACTGGAAACCCTGAAACTATCAGAAGAAAATTTTGGCTGTAACTTACAGGATATAGGTGTAGGAAAGTATTTTCTAAATCATACAGAAGTTGCTCAGGAATTAAGGCCAGCAATCAATAAGTGGGACCTCATTAAACTAAAAAGTTCCTGTACAGCAAAAGAAACAATCCAACAGTTTTAAAATCAAAAAAAAAAAAAAAATAAAAAAAAAAAAAAAAAAAAAAAAAAACAAGAAACAAAATGACACAATTAAAAACTGGGTTAAAGAGCTAAACAGGGAGTTCTCTAATGAATAGAGATGGCTCAGAAACATCTCAAAAAGTGTTCAACATCATTAATAATTAGGGAAATTCAAATTAAAACTACCCTAAGGTATCACCTTACCCAAATCACAGTGGCTAGGACCAAGAGAACAAATGATATCAAATGCTGGTGAGGATGTGGAGAAAGGGGAACAGTCATTCACTGCTGGTGGGATTGCAAACTTGTGCAGCCTCTATGGAAAACAGTGTGGAATTCTTAAAAAAATAAAAATGAGGGGCTGGAGAGATGGCTCAGTGGTTAAGAACACTGGTTGTTCTTGCAGAAGACCTAGGTTCAAATCCCAGCACCCACATGGCAGCTGACAACTGTCCATAACTCCAGTCCCAGGGGATCTGACAGCTTCTTCTGACCTCCGCAGGAATTGCACAACACAGGTGCACTTACCTACATGCAGGCAATACATGCATACACACAAAGTAAAATAATAAAAAAAACAGCTAAAAATGAACCTACCATATGACTCAGTTATACCACTCCTGGGCATATACCCAAAGGACTCATCCTATTGTAGAGACATTTGTACAACCATGTTTGTTGTTGCTCTTCACAATAGATAAGAGATGGAAGCAACCTAAGTGTCCCTCAGCTGACGAGTGGTTAACAAAAATGTGGTATATTTATACAATGGAGTTCTATTCAGCAGTAAAGAAAGATGTAATAATGAAATTTGCAGGTAAATGGATGGAACTAGAAACTGTTACACTAAGTGAAGTAACAGGGACCCAGAAAAACAAACGACATATATTCTCCCTCATGTGGCTCCTAGGACCAAATCCTTTTAAATTCCAGGTCCTTTTAATAAGATGATGCTATACAGCAGTCCCTTCTGCATGAAATAACTACCATCATCACGACTTTGGCTGAGCATGATTGCTAAACATAGTCACAATTGAGCTTGTTGACAGTTGTGCTCATTCATTAAAGGAGGGCCCAGCAGGGTCACTGAACCCTCCCCTGAGTATCCAGCCACTCTTTCCAGCCAACTAATCCAGCCTTGGAAGACAAAAGAAAAATGAGGAAGAACCCAATAGAGGGATGCTTTTGGAAGCCCTTGTCAAGAAACTCCAATAGACTCTCATATGAACATTTGAAAATTGCCCTGTTCTGACTTTTTTCTAGTTCCCTGTCTAAAATTTGTAATGCTAATTACTCTTGCCTTTACTTCTTCACATCTAGTTGTGATACAAGGCCTTTCTTTTCCCCTTAGAGATAAGAGTTATGCAATTTGGGAGTCTTTTAGATAGACCTACTGAAGGGGTACTCCAATTGCCTCACCCTGCGTCCCTGTTAAGCATGGAAGAAACCAGAGCGGTCTGTGTCCCGACTCCCTATTGGCAATTTGGGTAACGTCTTCAGAGGATGGCATGATAAGAGTAGGAGGTAGAAATTGGCTAGGCAGTTAGGGTGAAAAGGCCCCAAAGAAATGTAGCCAGTTTCTTGGCTAAAAGTCAAAATGTCCTTGGGCCCGTTAGCAACATACTCTGTTCCAAAGGCCAAAAATGTCAAAAGTATTTGGGAGTTTGTATCTAATCCTTAAAAGATTTTAGGGTTACGTCTTCAGAGGGGGCTATGTTGGAGGGGAGGAAGTGGGTATGGATTTCGTCAAAACACTATATACATATATGAAATTCTCAATCAAGTTTTTGTAAAAATTTTGAAAAACAAAATTACTGTATGGCCGGGCGTGGTGGCGCACACCATTAATCCCAGCACTTGGGAGGCAGAGGCAGGCAGATCTCTGAGTTCAAGGCCAGCCTGGTCTACATAGTTCCAGGTCAGCTGGGGCTACAGGGAGACCCTGTCTCAAAAAGACCAAAAATAAAAAATAAAAATTACTGTATGATCCAGCAGTTTCACTGCTAGAGCATACCACACAAACTTGAAAGCAGCGCCTTCATGAGATACTCCCATGCACATGTCTCCCAACAATACTGCCTGTAATAGTTGAAGTATAGAAGCAAGACAAACACCACCAACGCATGAGTGAATAACCAAAATGTGTGTACCTGTTAAGGAATATTATTCAGTCTTACGAAGGAATAAAATACTGAGCTGTGCCATAGGGCGAAATAACATTGAGGAACTTATGATAGGTGAAGTAAGCCAGCTACAAAATGACAAATATTCCATAATTTCATTTATATGGGAAGACAGAATTCATAAACACAGAAAGTAGAGTGGTGGCTGCAAAGGTCTGGAAAGAGGAAAATGGGGAATTATTATTCAGTGGGTTTGGAATCAGTTCAGCAAGGTGAAATGAGTTCCACAGATGGATAGTAGGATAATTTTCACAGTAATACGGATGTACTTAGTGCCACAGAACTGTACACTTAAAAGATAGCTAAGGTGGTAAACTTTATACTATATGCATTTCATCAGTTTTTATTACAAGATAAAAATCAGTAATAAATTTTTTAAAAGATAAGCTCTTTTGAAAATGTAGACATTATACTGTTTCTGACTTTTCTGAATATTTGTACATTTTTCTTTATATACTCCTCCCATCTGTTTTACCTTACTGTTTTCCTTAATCTTAAAATGCCACATCACCTTTTACTAGAGTAAATGTTTAGTAAGAAGCCAGTGGCTTAGATTCAGGAGCTGATGTTCTTCAGTTTTTACTTACCTGACAGGAACCCCTGCTTCCTGGAGTGTCGGGAGGTTAGGTCAGTGACTGGACTCTATCAAGTGAAAAATAGTTTGTAACAGTTTAAAAGATCCATTTATCTGTTTTAAACCTGTAAAGCAAGAACTATTTCCTAAGTAACAGTCTATTTTCATTCTACATAAGCAAGAAAGTCAGCCCTACCCTAACTGCCACTGCTCACTGGTGCCTTCTCTAGATTGTCACTTACCCTGCTTGACTGTGCACAGGCGTTGCAAACCTCAGCTTGGTACTGCCAGACAGGAATGACCTAATGACCTAATGAGGTCAGAGCTGTGCCTGAGAATAGCAGAGCTGTGACTAAGGGCTAATACCCCCAAATTTTGCCAATCTTTTGTCAATCAAAATCACATAGGTTTTAAAGTAAATTTATATTCCTTTTTCTAATCTTTCTGGTTCTGTTCATTTTACAGCTCTGTCATGAGCACCGACAGTAACTCATTAGCACGTGAATTTCTGATTGATGTCAACCGACTTTGCAATGCAGTGGTCCAGAGGGCGGAGTCCAGGGAGGAAGAAGAGGAGGAGACACACATGGCAACCCTTGGACAGTACCTTGTCCATGGGCGAGGATTTCTGTTACTTACCAAGCTGAATTCTATCATTGATCAGGTAACATTTTTCATGTCAAAGAATTGTTCATCAGTATGTTATTGTCGATTATCAATTTGTAACTTATAGATTACATACTTTCTGAGAGCCTCTGAGTTAGTCTTTTATGTCACTCCAACAAAACAGTAGCACCATTTATGACTATTTTTTACTTAGATACTTTTCACACTGTCTGAACTATCTTAGATTTATAAGTAGCCTTTTTTCTAAAAAGGTTTCATATATATGCTTTTTACTCTAATGTCAGCAAGATTACCATGAATTTGCACTTTCAGTGAAGAGAAAATGCATTTTTTAAATGTTTAGTATGGATTAGCTCTAGGAACATTCAAATTCCGGAGTGAAACCCTCCTTTGGCTTGTGCTCATCTAGGATTTTTGTTTAATACATTTTTTTCTTTTTTTTATCTCTCTCTCTCTCTCTCTCTCTCTCTCTCTCTCTCTCTCTCTCTTTGAAACAGGATCTTGCTATGTAACCCTGGCTGGGCTACAAGTCTTGATCCTCCTGCCTTAGCTCCCTGTGTGCAAGGAATACAGGTATGTACTATGTCCAGATTCTCTTATTAAAGATACTGTGTAAATAGTACCAGGAATATTAAGTACTCGCCAATAAATCTAATCAAATATGTATAATGCTTCTGCATAGAATTCTATAAAACATTATAGGAAACTAATGGAGGTCCAATTAAGTAGAGTGAAACTGCCTAGTATCATTCAGGTCATAACAGCAGCAATAGTTTTTCTTGTGATAATATTTTGTCATTTTTTAGGACTAGCCTTTCTAAGTGAATTTTAAGTGGTAATTTAGAGTTTTGTGTTTCACTGACACAGGCTTATGGGCCATACACCATTTTTTGTGAGTCTGTTCAAGGCTATTTGTTTGTGAGAAGAGGCTATTTGTTTATTATCCAGTTGTAACAGTTCTTCATTGTGCTGCACACAAGTCTATTGGACTACATATTTTCTTTGTAAATATGATAGAGCGTGTCATGAAATAGTCTTTTTAAAAATATTTATTATTTTTGTTTTATGTGTATGAGTGTATTGCCTGCATGTATATGTGAGTATACCCGTGTTGTGCGATGCTGTGGGGGTCAGAAGAGGGCTTCGGATTCCCCTGGAACTGGAGTTAAGGATGGTTCATAGCCGCCATGTGGGTGCTGGCAATTGAACCCAGGTCCTCTGCAAGAGCAGTCAGTGCTCTTAACTGCTGAGCCATCTCTCCAGCCCCATGAAATATCTTTTAATCTATACTAAATGATTAAAATTATTCAGGCTATAACTGCAGTCATATTTTTTCTCATGTAATAATTTTCACTCCTTCCCACTCAGTCACTTTTTGAGTGTCTACAACAGTGAGAGTGCACACAGTAGGTGCTGTCTTGGAGTGCGGGTAAATGGTGTGCCATGTTAAAAACCATTTGATTGTTTCAGTTAGGAATTGGAGAATGATAATTTGTCTTTAAGGGAAATCCTCATTGAAGCTGGAATCATCACACTAGACGCAAAACTGCACATTGCAGGGCAAACCATAGATTTTGTCTAAATAGGGCATTTCTTAGTGTTTTGGGAAAAAGGTGATTTAAGCCCTTCTCCAATCACTGCAGACCTTTTTGCTTCACTAATATTTAATATAAAGAAATAAGCAGATTCTCTATTGAGATAAAATCAACATAAAGTAAGTGCACATATGTAAAGTTTATAGTCAGATGAATTTTGACAAATATAAATCACCACGCAAACACCACTGCATTTTGTGTTTTGTCATGCCTCCCTTAGACAGCCTTTGTCCTTTGCCTACTGGAAGACAACTGCTGTGCTGATGGCTAGCATGCATTGAATTATATTTCTGCTCTTCTAGAACGTCACATCAGTGGACCATGCAGGCTATCCCCTTGTGACTCTGAGATTGCTGTGTCCATGATGTTGCATGAGTCGGTCATTCAGTACTTTTTGCCTGATTGTTTTGTTGTGTGCATTTACCACAGCTTAATTGTCCACTTGCTCTCTAACCATTTGAACTGTATGCATTTGGTTATTATGAATGGAATGCTACAGGCATTCTTCTAAACCTTTGTGTGGTTATGTTTACATCTCCTTGGGCATGCAGGTACTGGGCAAAAGAATAGGTATTTGCAGAACTTTATAGGAACCTGAAAGCTGTTTTTCAGAGCGGATGTGCCATTTTTTATTTTCTTTCTTTTTTTAAATTTTTTTTATTTTATGTATATGCAATTATTGCATGCATGTAGGTAAGTGCACCATGTCGTGCAATACCCCTGGAGGACAGAAGAGGCTGTTGGATCCCCTGGAACTGGAGTTACAGACAGTTGTTAGCTGCCATGTGGGTGCTGGGATTCGAACCCGGGTCTTCTGCAAGAACAATCAGTGTTCTTAACTGCTGAGCCATTTCTCCAGCCCCCATTTTTTATTTTCACTACTCATTTTCAGTGATGCCCAATATGGTAGCTAGTGCCGAACTCTATATATTCTTTTGTTTTACATGTAAATAGCTATGGTGAAGTATAACTTATAAATTAGACTCAATAAAACATTAAAAATAGTTAATAGAGGAGTTTTGACACTAATTTCTAATAAAAGTCATTTAAAATTTGTGAGTTTTTGGCTTGAAATTAAAATTTTGTTGTTGTTGTTTTACTGTGCTTGACTGGGTAACCAAAACCACAGAAAGTAAAACCACGGATAAGGGAACACTACTATAAATTTTTTTGTGAATGTCTAAGCTTTGTACCATTTTTAAGGTCAAATTTTTGTCCTTATGTGTTTATTAGGGATAGAACTTTTTGTTAGCTTTCAAACACTTTCTTTATGGCTTTCCTGTTCTTCTTTTTTTCTTCTTTTTCTTTTTTAAGAAAAGGTCTTTAGGCAGTTCAGACCTGCCTCTTAATTCCCATCCTCCTACTTTGGCCTATTCAGTGCTAGAGTTACAGGCCTGTTCTGCTGTGCCTGACTGCCCTTTTCATTTCTTAAGTGTTGTTTGTTTGTTTGTTTTAAAGTGCTGGGGATCAAACCTAAGGACTCTTAGATCTTAGACAATCACTCTGCCATTGAACTATACCCCAGCCTCAGTGATATTTTCAGAGTAGAGCTTTCTCTTTTATAGTGGTGTTTTATGTTCTAAGAAATATGTGTCTTGCAACCTCAAAGTCGCAAGATATTCTCCTTTCTTCTTAGCTATTTTATTTATGCATTTATGCACTTATTTTAGTACTAGGGATAGAAGCCAGAGTCTCATGCGTGCAAAATAAGCATTCTACTGATTGAGCAATGTTCTCAGTCCTTCTAAGCCTGTAGCTGTTATTTTTAACTTAGATCTGTGTTCTACTTTGAATTAGTATCTGTGCAGGGTGTTTTAGGTTAGGGTTTCTCCTTCCCTCCATACTTAATGATGTATAGCATCATTCCTAAAAGCCTGTTCTTTCCTTGCTGAAAACATTGGTGACTTTGAACACCCCAGTTTACTATACGTTTAGGGGTTCTCTCTGGATTTTCTGTTTTGTTCACTAATCTGTTATCTATTCATTTACCAGTACTGCACTATCTTGATTACTATAGTTTTTAATAAGAGTAAATCTAAGCTGGGTGTACCACATGCCTTCCCAGCACTTGGGAATCAGAGGTAGGAGGATCTCTGTGAATTCGAGGCCAGCCTGGTCTACATAGTGAGTTCCAGAACAGCTCGGGCTACAGGGAGACCCTGTCTCAAAAAGACAAAAAAAAGAAAGAAAAAGAAAAAAAAGAATCTAGAGGGCCAGCAAGATGACTCAGAGGATTAAGGCACTTGCCACCAAGCCTAATGACCTGAGTTCAGTCCCTGAAACCTACATGTTTGGAGGAGAGAACTGATTCCCACAGGTTATCCTCTAACCTCTAGACACACTGACGTTATAAACACCTCTCCCCAAATAAAGAAATAAATGTAAAAAGGAAAAGTAAATCTGGAAATCAGGTGATGTAAGCTCTCCAGTTTTATTCTAATTTTTAGCAGTGTCCATTCTGTCTCCTTTGGATTTCTGTATAAATTTTATTCAGTGTATCATTTCTGTGAAGATACTCAATATGCTTTCACTTGGAATGGCATTGAATACAAAAATCAATTTGGAAAGAGTTTACGCTATTGACTTCTCCCAATCCATGAATATGTTATAAATCGGTTTATTTGGATCTTCCCTGATTCACTGCAGTATTATGGTTTTCAGTGTAGAAACCTTGTACAGGTTTTATTAGGTAGGTTCAATAGTTTTATTTAAAAGTTTTGATTTTCCTATTTGTTACTTAGAGGAATACAACTGGTTTTTTTGTTTGTTTGTTTGTTTGTTTGTTTGTTTGTTTTGTATACTGATCTCTGTCCTGTGCCTTTGTTAAATTCATTTATTAACTCTTGAAATTTTTCTGTAGAGTCCCTGGGATTTTCTGTGTAAGCAATCATGTTACCTGTGAGTAATGATAGTTTAGTTTCTTTTCCAGCTTTTATACCTTTTATTTTGTTTTCTCAACTTTTTGCACTGGCTTCTAGCACAAAGGCAAATGGAGTGGTGGGTAAAAGTAGACTTCCTGCCTTGGGTCGGGCCAAGGAGAAGTATGCCTGCTTACCATTGAATGTGGTTAGAGCTCAGGGCTTGTTAGTTCTTTGATCAGAATGAGGAAGCACTCTTCTAGTCCAAGGTCACTGAGAGTATACTTAATGGATGTTGAATTATGTCAAATGTGTTTTCTGCATCTGTTGAGACTATCGTATGATTTTCCCTTTTAATTCCCTCAATGTGGGTGAAGTATATGGATTTTTAAAAAATTTTTATTTATTTCTATTTTATGTGTATAAGTTATTTTGCCTGTGTGTATATAAGTGCAGTGCCCGTGGAGGCCAGGAGAGGGTATCAGATCCCCTGAAACTAGAGTTATGGACAGTTGTTAGCCTCCATGTGGGTGGTAGGAATTGAACCAAACCTGGGTCCTCTGCAAGAGGAGTCAGTGTTCTTA